ATCAGTCATCTACTATTACCATTAACGTTTCTACTAAAATATGTATTAATTATATGCAAAATTCCAAAAAGCCCAACAAACTTGCATTTGAAACTATTGTTTTTCAGTCATATACTTGTCTGGTCCACACAAGATTATTAAAGGTCACATGCAACGTAAAACACAACTTTGCAGATTCTGATGCCTTTCCATATGGACTTACCGAAACAAATCGTCAAAAATGCAAATTCAAGTTACAAAGTTGAAAAATAACGCGATGAAAAAAAACGCGCGAAATCGGAGTTCAAACGTTTCACTAATTTTCCCCAGACTTTTCTGGGGAATACGGGTTTCAACAGCTGGGCTGCGCTCATAGCACGTGCGCAGTGAAATAGGTTCGCGCAACTTGGAAGCGGGCTGTCTGGTGAATACTCGGTGCAGGCTTTGGTGTGAGCTATTTTCATAATGTTTTGTTGATATCTCACAGGCGCGAGCTTTTTATATGTTATGACGGTAAAAAAAAACTGTTCATATAATTTCATTTGTCTATTTCACCACACGTTCTTCTTACCGAGTCACTTTCTCAGTTCGATACTTAAAAGCAATGTCATTATTTAGCGTTGACACAATTTCTAACTGTGATATAGATATGTCGTTGTCACAGACAAAACTCAATGTCTTGTGTTATTGACACCTATGTGTCTGCCTGCCAGTCTGCTAATGACAATATTCAATACACAACTGCGATCACTGACCACATGCAATTTGAACTTAACACCAATCAGGCTATACACCATAAACAAAACGCATTGATTTATGGCCCGAGTTCGGTCTCTGTCACATTATGTAATTACACAGACAGGCAGGTGTGATACTTGAACACAGGACATGTTATGATGTCTGTTGATTGCAAATTGTTATACACAAAAAATGAGCATGTATTTACAAAACCCAACATCTCTATATATACACACACAATGAGCCGGCGGCATCTGCTAATGAACCAGCCGTTACACTTGAGTGCACACCCACCCGCTCTGACTGGGTTCGGTATCCCGGCTGCTTCGTTTCGAGGGAGGTAAACCTAAGTACAAAATATTGCACTTTTGATTTGCGATTATACGCTTATAATTTTGTTTATTTGTTTTTTCATAATCAGCAATGCATATTATATGTCATGAAGAAGTGATAATTGTGTTTTAATTATGTTTGATTTTTTGTTTGCATGTGACCTTTAACAGACCGCCGCCATATAGCTGGATTATTGCTGAGTGCGGCGTAAAACTAAACTCATTCACTTACTCTGCCATATACATGGGTGCCAGCTAATGTGGGAGGAGAGCTTTGAGGACATCTGCATACCTAGGATGGTGAGTGGGTTTATTTTTCACACCGCACTCAGCAATATTAGAGCAATAGGGGGCGGTCTGTAATTAATCGGGTATGAACCAGACAATCCAGTGATCAACAGCATGAGCATCGATCAACGCAATATGGCATACGATGACACATGTCAACCTAGTCCGCAAGCTTGGCTACCCGATCCCGTTAGTAGCCTCTTACGACAAGCATGGGTTGCTGAAGACGAATTCCAACTGGACCTAAGATGGTGAGAAACCAAGAAACGACTTGGAGGAGTCCGGAGTTTTAACCCACGATTAAAGGTTTCCAGCACGCCTTGGGAAACATGAAAATGATGAAGATAAAAGTCTCACAGGTTGCAAACTCCAGCAAATACACTTGCTGGAGGGGTACACAAAAAATGGTAGTCTGTAAAAAACAGGCATGAGAACGGCAAAGCACAAAAAACACCGACAATCTTTTATTGCAGATTTACATCGATCTCAAAAACGTTCAAAATGAAACAACAATCCTGGAAATCTGCTGATCCAGGGAAAATTCTCGTCTGAAACAATCAAGCCTGGTTTAGCTAATCCAGTGATTGATAGTGTGAGGAACGACTTACGTTGCTGGTGTTCAATGACACTCTTTCAATCAAATCGAAAACCTGGCAAACTAATTCCATTAAGTTCAATCTTACATTGTACGCTGAGGATCAATTCCAGCACAAACCCCCCTAAGGCAGCTACAAATAACATTACTACTGCAAGTAAACAGTCAACAAACAAAACATCAACATTCATTTGATCCCACAAACATATGGAGTATATTTAATTTGACTGACATACACAAGGAACAATTATCTAATTCTGCGTAAATCAGAACAAATACATTTCATTTCTACTGCAATAATTCTCTTCTGATCACTTTCATCTCAAACAGACTAGTATTTGATAAGCAACATTAAAGCCATTTCACTGGGTAAGTCAATTTGATAGAGCACATGAGTTGTTAAAAAGATGCCAAATACCCCAGCTCCCATAAAATTGAAAGAAGAAATAATCTTTTACTTAAGTCCAATTTGATGAGAGTGAGAGAGTGAGATTAGTTTAGTGCTGCTTTTAGCAATATTCCAGCAATATAACAGGGGACACCACAAACGAGCTTCACACATTGTACCCATGTGGGCAATCTAACCCGGGTTTTCGGCGTGATGAGCGAATGCCTTAACCACAAGGCCACCCCAATTTGATGAGAGAATTTCTTTGTATTCTTTCTGCCAAAACACAAAAGTAGTTGTAGAGCTATCAAAACAATACCATGGAACTGGGATTCAGAACTTTGTATGTCCATGTCCCCACACACTAACATAAGTCAAATCAAATTGTTGCAACGGAAACAGTTTTTAATTGAAATTCTAAAAATACCTAAAGAGCAATATGCAGCAGTTGACCACCTGGGCTCGCTTGCACAAAGCGATCTTAGCGCTACTGATTGTAACTCCCATTCTCCAACATAGGCTTTAAGATTTGTGTGTGCACAGTTTCATAAAGGAATACCTATTATTTTAAGAGATCTCAGGGTGTAATTTCGTTATTTACCACCTGCAACACTGCATGTTCAAAATGGCTGGTCCAGGTTACCTTAAGTAACGGGTTGCACCTGTGCAGGTAACAATAAATCTCCAACATCTTATAACTGTCATTGCGTGTTTTACTTTGGAAGTAAGTGGCTCGAGGTAATACGATTCTCATAGCATGACTTGTTACAAGCAGAAACAATTGTGTACTCATAAATCATACTTGAGATCAATAAACAAAGGTAATGCAAAACAGAAACATTCATTATTTTCCATCATGAGGTCAGGTTCTGTTGAATGTATCCGATACTGAATACTTGTTATGAAAATTGCTAAACAAGTATGTAACTTACTTTTTAGAACCAGTGACATTATTTTATAGTGCAGCCAAACCTATAAGCCAGAGTGCACAGAACTGAATCAAACTTGTTGCCATGGCAACGTAATAAATATAATTTAAACACGATCTCTTTGTCATCGATCGGCATTGTCATGAAAGACTACCTATTAGTTAGTCAGATTTAGTCCTGACAAACACAAATCTGTTGGGTGACGTGGAATTTTGGAGTCTTTGAGTACCGCTATTTCCCTGTTTCCATCAGGGAAAAACAAATCATTAAAAGATTCCCAAGGCCAGACCAATTTTATGTCTTGTGTGGCGGATCCGCCTGTCATATTTTGTCAAGAATAAGACCAACAAAAAAATTTAAAAAATTTCCCGCGCAAAAAATAAAATCCTAATGTTAAGATATATGGCAGCAAGACTTCGACTACACGAGGCAGTTTGTTGGACTCTAAAACTCTGTTCTCAGAGAATTTAAACTGAATTATCTAACAATATTTGTGTTAGAAATCAGTGCTTCGAGCACCTCAGCAAGTAGTGAACTTGAAAATCAATGCCTTTTGAAAATCTTATGTGGATTTTTATTTGACTGTGGATTTTTTTTTTTTCAGCCCTGCCTTTAGGTTTTCGGAGGACAAAAACCTGTAAAACAAGAAATAAAATTGGTCTGGCCTAAACAGCCAAATACAGAACTTCAGCCCTGGTAAATATAGCTCTTAAATTCAGATGAAAAATGTTGAAAACGTTTCAAGTTCTGCACGAGAAATGAAACCTACCACCGTTTCAGCATAATCAAACTTATTTCTATAAGAAACCGGAAAAACATAATTGCCAAAAACTTGCCAAAGGCATCTCTTCAAAATCTGTTTGGTATCTACCAAGGTTTTTGGAAATGATATATTAACAGTTTTTTAATCTTTTGCAGAAAAGAAATGATTATGGATGCACAGACAAGTCGTTGATTTTATCTCCCCATTATATACTGAGGGAAAGAAATAAGGGATCATATAAAAGACAGGTGTTCCTTTACTTTTTTCCCAGGTTTCTTCACAACCTTTGTATCACACAACTTGTGAAGAAACCTGGAAAAAAATGAAGGAACACTTGTGCTTTCATGTGATCCCTATTTTTCCCTCAGTACATAATGCGAGAATACAAAGGGTCACTTTATTTAAAGATATGTCAAACAACATTGATTGTTGAAATATCCAAGTGCCCAAATGGATAAAGTGAGGTGAGGTGAAATTGGGTTTAACGTCGTGCTTGAGAATATTTCGCTCATATGACGACGTGCATGCGTGTGTATATGTATGTGCGGCTGCTTGTACTAGCCCAGACTGAAGCTGGTTTTATAGTGCTAGCTCACTGAGATACCATGCCGCAGTGAAGCATGAATACCCCACTCAGACACAGTATACTGACTCTGAGCCGACCAGTCCTTGTTGTACCCATTAATGGCGAGCGCCAGGCAGGGACCAACAAGTACCATATTTTAACGTCTTTTGGTATGACGCGGTCGGGTTCGAACCCGCGACCTTCCGCTCTCCGGGCGGACGCTCTAACCACTACACCACAGAACGGCCTCCAAATGGATAAAGGAGATTAGTGTTTGTTTTTTTGTGCATTGTACTCTTGACATCCTATCAACCATACTACATCCACACAGAGATTGTGACCAATCAAAATTCACTTTTTCCTTTGAAGTATGGAGGTCATTCAATAGCTGAACTGTACAATCCAGGGAAATCGAAGACAGTCTAGACTATACAAGAGCAAATTTAGTTATTCAATGGAAGAAACATAAGCCATGATAATCTACAACAGAGAACTGTATTGTGTAATGAAAGATTTCGTTGACTCCACTTCAGTAAATCATTCACCATGGTAACAGATTCGCATACATGTATGGTTGTTTGGTTGTCATCTTGGTAAAACAACCAAATGTCAGTTCGCTACAGTGTACACGTATCAACATCCATCTTAACAACATCCATGTCATGTTACCAAGGCAACACACTATGTCTCCTCTCTTATTACCATAGCAACACATCAACATCTATTCTCTGCCATTTAAGGATATCATTGTCCAAAAGAATAGTGTCTCTTTCCTTAAATTTTAACACTGCAATATGCAGCGTGTCTCTTACAGAATGTATTGTTGTTGTAGTAACATCAAGTGTGTCTCTTGCTTGTCCGGGTACCATAGCAACATCTTGTCTCTTCCAGGTCATTTAAGAAAGGAACATCTCTTCTGTCATGTTACCATAGCATTCCTCCATGATGGAAGTCAGGGAAGAGTTGCTGTGAAGCGCCATAGTTGATGCCAGAGCCCGAGTCTCATGAGGGTTCGACGCAGCTGGAGGAAAAAGACCAGCGAATGTGTAAGCTTGTAAGATGATAGATCTCATCCAGAAGGCGGGTGTTCTACGAGAGCCTTCCACTGATGAAGCTGTAGAGAGTGGGATGAAGAGGCGCTTACACAACCTACGAAGACGACGCCTAATCGTATTGCTGGGCACTGCTCCACTTGACCCAAGAACTAAGGCTGCTGTTACTGTTTCTGCTTGAGTTCGGTTTCTTTAGATGAGTGACCCGGATGAACCTGGAGTTGCCACTCGTTGCCGTCCGGTACAGGGACGATCATCAGCACCGGTTTGCTGATGACGTTGAGCACGTCATGTCATGTGGTAAGATGACAGCCCAATTGCCTAGCTACAGCGGTTGCAGAGCTACCTCCGTGCAACTTTCCAATGGCCACTCCCCTCTGCTCAGTCGTTAGTCTAGGCATCATTTGTGTGGCGTGTACACCTCCTAGCGTCAATACTGAACTGTTTTTTGACACAAACCGTTATAAAGAATACCTCAGAGTGAAATGCATGCTTTCCATCCTGAACCGTCGACGCACGTGCAAAAATTATGGTTTTGCTGCACTGTTGGTGTGTTTGTGCGAATGGTTCGTATGGACGCCAAATTGCATGACATCATCTCATCTGGGATCATTACGTCATTTTACCATGAACGTTCCATGGACGCTTACTTTCATGAAATTTCATTTTTTCGAAACTTGCGTTTCTTTTGCTGTTCAGTATAGAAACGTAGTCTGGGACTGAATCAGTTTTCTTTCCCCTTGTAATGTATACTTGGAAAAAGGGGTTTTCCCCAACCCTGACACATTTTCCTCATAAATGCTTTTACGGAAATAAACTCCCCTTCTATTGCCATCAGTCATCTACTATTACCATTAACGTTTCTGCTAAAATATGTATTAATTATATGCATTTTATATTCTAAAAACCAACATACCTGCATTTGAAACTATTGTTTTTCAGTCATATACTTGTCTGGTCCAGACAAGATTATTAACAGAGCGCAGCCATATAGCTGGATTAACGCTGAGTGCGGCGTAAAACTAAACTCACTCACTTACTCTGCCATATACATGCGTGCCAGCTGATGTGGGAGGAGAGCTTTCAGCGATGCCCGTCTTCCAGGACATCATCATACCTAGGATGGTGAGCGAGTTTATTTTTACACCGCACTCAGCAATATTAAAGCTATAGGGGGGCGGTCTGTAATTAATTGGGTATGGACCAGACAATCCAGTGATCAACAGCATGAGCATCGATCAACGCAATATGGGATACGATGACATGTGTCAACCAAGTCAGCGAGCCTGGCTACCCGATCCCGTTAGTAGCCTCTTACGACAAGCATGGATTGCTGAAGACGAATTCCAACCGGACCTAAGAGGGTGAGAAACCAAGAAACGACTTGGAGGAGTCCGGAGTTTTAACCCACGATTAAAGGTTTCCAGCACGCCTTGGGAAACATGAAGTTGATGAAGATAAAAGTCTCACAAGTTGCAAACTCCAGCAAATACACTTGCTGGAGGGGTACACAAAAAACGCTATCTGAGCTCAAGAGTTGTCAGACTTCCATGGAAGCCCGGGGGGAGGAGGGGGATAGATCGCTGACTTTGCTCGCGAATAGATGTCCGTCTCTGAGAATGTGGGTTCCAGTAACTATGAAGATCCAGGATAGAATTGATAACGGGGTCGGGTGGTCAGGCTTAAGTCTTCAAAGTGTCGTCGTGACCTTAAAAAATAAGTGAAGGTCACGAAAATCGACTGGACCCTGCGCCTTCCCTCGATGAAGCTTGATGTCAAATATGAAGAAAATCCAGTGAACGGTTCTTGAGGTATCTCGCTGACAAGGGTAAAACGTTAAAGTCCCCTGGTGACCTTGAAATGAAGGTCAAGGTCACCGAACCTGACTGGGACCTTTCTTTTACTGTGATGAACCTAGGTACCAAATAAGAAAAGAATCCAGTTAACGGTTCTTAAGATATTCCAATTCGTACGGACGGACGGACGGACGGACAGAACCTAATACAATAATACATCTGAATTTATATCTTGAAGAACTCTTAACCAATCCCAAAATAAATGTGCTGCAGACGTTCTTTTAGTTAGGAATCAAAAACATATTCCTTTGTCCCAATAATACAAACTATTCTCCATATTAACAGTGAATCTGAATTACATTTTACTGAAAACCTAAGCAGTCTAATTGTACACAAATGACAACACATGATTTAAACATCAAAAAACAAAACATTTCAATTCCAAATTCCATCTCCATCCCAGACTCAAAATTTGCATCTTTCCTGTTTGAAATCTCACATTATTCCAGCTCTAAGATGGTAGTCTGTAAAAACAGGCATGAGAACGGCAAAGCACAAAAAACACTGACAATCTTTTATTGCAGATTTACATCGATCTCAACAACGTTCAAAATGAAACAACAATCCTGGAAATCTGCTGATCCAGGGAAAATTCTCGTCTGAAACAATCAAGCCTGGTTTAGCTAATCCAGTGTTTGATAGTGTGAGGAACGACTTACCTTGCTGGTGTTCAATAACACTCTTTCAATTAATTCGAAAACCTGGCACACTAATTCCATTAAGTCAAATCTTACATTGTACGCTGAGGATCAATTCCAGCACAAATCCCCCTAAGGCAGCTACAAATAACATTACTACAGCAAGTAAACAGTCAACAAACAAAACATCAACATTCATTTGATCCCACAAACATATAGAGTATATTTAATTTGACAGACATACAAAAGGAACAATTCTCTAATTCTGCGAAAATCAGAACAAACACATTTCATTTCTATTGCAATAATTCTCTTCTGATCACTTTCATCTCAAACAGACTAGTATCTGATAAGCAACATTAAAGCCATTTCACTGCGTAGTCAATTTGGTAGAGCACATGAGTTGTTAAAAAGATGCCAAATACCCCAGCTCCCATAAAATTGAAAGAAGAAATAATCTTTTACTTAAGTCCAATTTGATGAGAGTGAGAGAGTGAGGTTAGTTTAGTGCTGCTTTTAGCAATATTCCAGCAATATCACAGGGGACACCACAAATGGGCTTCACACATTGTACCCATGTGGGCAATCCAACCCGGGTTTTCGGTGTGATGAGCGAATGCCTTAACCACAAGGCTACCCCAATTTGATGAGAGAATTTCTTTCTATTCTTTCTGCAAAAACACAAAAGTAGTTGTAGAGCTATCAAAACAATACCATGGAACTGGGATTCAGAACTTTGTATGTCCATGTCGTACACACACTAACATAAGTCAAATCAAATTGTTGCAACGGAAACAGATTTTAATTGAAATTTTAAAAATCCCTAAAGAGCAATATGCAGCAGCTGACCACCTGGTCTTTGTGTGTGCACAGTTTCATAAAGGAATACCTATTATTTTAAGAGATGTCAGGGTGCAATTTCGTTATTTACCACCTGAACCACTGCATGTTCAAAATGGCTGGTCCAGGTTACCTTTAGTAACAGGTTGCAGGTAACAATAAATTTCCAACATCTTATAACTGTCATTGCGTGTTTTACTTCGGAAGTAAGTGGCTCGAGGTAATACGATTCTCATAGCATGACTTGTTACAAGCAGAAACAATTGTGTACTCATAAATCATACTTGAGATCCATAAACAAAGGTAATGCAAAACAGAAACATTCATTATTTTCCATCATGAGGTCAGGTTCTGTTGAATGTATCCGATACTGAATACTTGTTATGAAAATTGCTAAACAAGTATGTAACTTACTTTTTAGAACCAGTGACATTATTTTATAGTGCAGCCAAACCTATAAGCCAGAGTGCACAGAACTGAATCAAACTTGTTGCCATGGCAATGTAATAAATATAGATTAAACACGATCTCTTTGTCATCGATCGGCATTGTCATGAAAGACTACCTATTAGTTAGTCAGATTTAGTCCTGAAAAACACAAATCTGTTGCCATGGAGTCTTTGAACCGCTATTTCCCTGTTTCCATCAGGGAAAAACAAATCATTAAAAGATTCCCAAGGCCAGACCAATTTTATGTCTTGTGTGGCGGATCCGCCTGTCATATTTTGTCAAGAATAAGACCAACAAAAAAATTTAAAAAATTTCCCGCGCAAAAAATAAAATCCTAATGTTAAGATATATGGCAGCAAGACTTCGACTACACGAGGCAGTTTGTTGGACTCTAAAACTCTGTTCTCAGAGAATTTAAACTGAATTATCTAACAATATTTGTGTTAGAAATCAGTGCTTCGAGCACCTCAGCAAGTAGTGAACTTGAAAATCAATGCCTTTTGAAAATCTCATGTGGATTTTTATTTGACTGTGGATTTTTGTTGTTTTTTTTGATCCCTGCCTTTAGGTTTTCTGAGGACAAAAACCTGTAAAACAAGAAATAAAATTGGTCTGGCCTAAACAGCCAAATGCAGAACTTCAGCCCTGGTAAATATAGCTCTTAAATTCAGATGAAAAATGTTGAAAACGTTTCAAGTTCTGCACGAGAAATGAAACCTACCACCGTTTCAGCATAATCAAAATTATTTCTATAAGAAACCGGAAAAACATAATTGCCCAGACTGCCGAAACTGAAGCTGGTTTTATAGTGCTAGCTCACTGAGATATCATGCCGCAGTGAAGCATTAATACCCCACTCAGAGTCCTTGTTGTACCCATTAATGGCGAGCGCCAGGCAGGGACCAACAAGTACCATATTTTAACGTCTTTTGGGATGACGCGGACGGGGATCGAACCAGCGACCTTCCGCTCTCCGGGCGGACGCTCTAACCACTACACCACGGAGGCGGCCTCCAAATGGATAAAGGAGGTTAGCGTTTGTATTTTTGTGCATTGTACTCTTGACATCCTATCAACCATACTACATCCACACAGAGATTGTGACCAATCAAAATTCACTTTTTCCTTTGAAGTATGGAGGTCATTCAATAGCTGAACTGTACAATCCAGGGAAATCGAAGACAGTCTAGACTATACAAGAGCAAGTTTAGTTATTCCATGGAAGAAACATAAGCCATGATAATCTACAACAGAGAACTGTATTGTGTAATGAAAGATTTCGTTGACTCTACTTCAGTAAATCATTCACCATGGTAACAGATTCAGCATACATGTATGGTTGTTTGGTTGTCATCTCTGTAAAACAACCAAATGTCAGTTCGCTACAGTGTACACGTATCAACATCCATCTTAACAACGTCCATGTCATGTTACCAAGGCAACACACTATGTCTCCTCTCTTATTACCATAGCAACACATCAACATCTATTCTCTGCCATTTAAGGATATCATTGTCTAAAAGAATAGTGTCTCTTTCCTTATATTTTAACACTGCAATACGCAGCGTGTCTCTTACAGAATGTATTGTTGTTGTAGTAACATCAAGTGTGTCTCTTGCTTGTCCGGGTACCATAGCAACATCTTGTTTCTTCCAGGTCATTTAAGAAAGGAACATCTCTTCTGTCATGTTACCATAGCATTCCTCCATGATGGAAGTCAGGGAAGATTTGCTGTGAAGCGCCATAGTAGATGCCAGAGCCCGAGTCTCATGAGGGTTCGATCGAGCTGGAGGAAAAAGACCAGCGAATGTGTAAGCTTGTAAGATGGTAGATCTCATCCAGAAGGCAGGTGTTCTACAAGAGCCTTCCACTGATGAAGCTGTAGAGAGTGGGATGAAGAGGCGCTTACACAACCTACAACGGTCTAGAGATGCAGCAATGTAGATTCTAAGTGCTCTGACCGGACAAAGCGGGAGGTCTTTGATGCCATCTGGCCCGAGGATAGTGGACAAAAGAGATAGGGTAGGTCTATCTGGTTGTCCTGGTAGTGGGTTCTTCGCACTGAAGTACCATGGGAGATGCAGATAAACTCTGCCATGCATCTTCCATACAAAACGTGCATGATTGACGTCCAACATCCATAGGAGAGTTTTGTCCAACATAGCAGAGTGAGTGATTGAGTTTAGGTTTATGCCGCACTCAGCAATATTCCAGGTATATGGTGGCGTATAAAGCATAAGTTACAATATCATCAACACCTTGTTACCGTGACAACGCTTGCTCGCTTCTCATCCACTTCATATTACCAAAGAAACATTTCATTATGACATGCTCACGTGATGAAGCGTAGGTGACAATAATGTGAGATTCAATAAAATCAGTGCGTAACTGTTGCTGGAATAACATTTGTTGCCATGACTACACAGTCCACTGGGTACAGATAAAGCAACATTTGACCCTTGAAGAGTCAGTCAAGCACAACCACCTTTCCTGTAATACACTGTCACTTAATTGATCATTTCCAGGACAAGTTCATTCAACTGGATGCTGCCGTCCAAAGTCAGGGACAGGAAACGTTCTGCTGCCTTATCGCTCACTGTCCGTAAAGCTGGTAACCGTAGCAACATCTTGCCATATCTGCGTGTTTCTAATGGATAGTGGAACTTCATGTAGCGCAGCATTGCTTCCAGGATCTCAATCTGAAGTGTGATCACGCTCTCCTTGTTCTGTATACCTACTGCATCTGAGGATTGGACAGGGATTGAATTAAATATACATTCCATAGTGATAGCTGATGAGTTTGTATGAGTGAGCAGGTGGCTGGGTGGGTGTTTGATTGAGCAGGTGGCTGGGTGGGTGTTTGAGTGAGCAGGTGGGTAGGTGGGTGTTTGGGTGAGCAGGTGGCTGGGTGGGTGTTTGAGTGAGCAGGTGGGTGGGTGGGTGTTTGATTGAGCAGGTGGGTGGGTGGGTGTTTGGTGAGCAGGTAGGTAGGTGGGTGTTTGAGTGAGCAGGCAGGTGGGTGTTTGAGTGGGTAGGTGGGTGTTTGGGTGAGCAGGTGGCTGGGTGGGTGTTTGAGTGAGCAGGTGGGTGGGTGGGTGTTTGATTGAGCAGGTGGGTGGGTGGGTGTTTGAGTGAGCAGATGGGTGGGTGGGTGTTTGAGTGAGCAGGTGGGTGGGTGGGTGTTTGATTGAGCAGGTGGCTGGGTGGGTGTTTGAGTGAGCAGGTGGGTGGGTGGGTGTGTTTGGGTGAGCAGGTGAGCAGGTGGGTGGGTGGGTGTTTGAGTGAGCAGGTGGGTGTTTGAGTGAGCAGGTGGCTGGGTGAGCAGGGTGTTTGGTGAGCAGGTGGGTGGGTGGGTGTTTGGGTGAGCAGGTGGGTGGGTGGGTGTTTGAGTGAGCAGGTGGTGGGTGGGTGTTTGAGTGAGCAGGTGGCAGGTGGGTGGGTGGGTGTTTGAGTGAGCAGGTGGGTGGGTGGGTGTTTGATTGAGGTGAGCAGGTAGGTAGGTGGGTGTTTGGGTGAGCAGGTGGGTGGGTGGGTGTTTGAGTGAGCAAGTAGGTGGGTGGGTGGGTGGGTGTTTGAGTGAGCAGGTGGGTGTTTGAGTGAGCAGGGTGCTGGGTGGGTGTTTGAGTGAGTAGGTGGGTGTTTGAGTGAGCAGGTGGGTGGGTGGGTGTTTGAGTGAGCAGGTGGGTGGGTGGGTGTTTGATTGAGCAGGTGGCTGGGTGGGTGTTTTGAGTGAGCAGGTGGGTAGGTGGGTGTTTGGGTGAGCAGGTGGCTGGGTGGGTGTTTGAGTGAGCAGGTGGGTGGGTGGGTGTTTGAGTCAGCAGGTGGGTGGGTGGGTGTTTGAGTGAGCAGGTGGGTGGGTTGGTGTTTGAGTGAGCAGGTGGATGGGTGGGTGTTTGAGTGAACAGGAGAAGGAAGGAGGAAAAGAGGGAGGGAATAGTTGAGCTAGGAAAAGGCAGAGAAGGAGGGGTGAAAAGAGGATAGAGAAAAGGAAGGAGAGAAAGTGAATGAGGAGAGAGTGAGGGAGATGGGGAGGGAAAAAGAAGAAAAAGGGGAGAGAACATGGCGAACAGTCGAACAGTGGTACGATGCTGACAGACTTACTGTATCAATGAGAGAGTGAGTGAGTGAGTATGGTTTAACACTGCTTTTAGGTGAGGTGAAATTTGGTTTAACGTCGTGCTTGAGAATATTTCGCTCATATGACGACGTGCATGCGTGTATGTGTATGTGCGGCTGCTTGTACTAGCCCAGACTGAAGCTGGTTTTATAGTGCTAACCCACTGAGATACCATGCCGCAGTGAAGCATGAATACCCCACTCAGACACAGTATACTGGCTACGAGCCGACCCGTTCTTGTTGTACCCATTAATGCCGAGCGCCAGACAGGGACCAACAAGTACCATATTTTAACGTCTTTTGGTATGATGCGGTCGGGGATCAAACCCACGACCTTCCGCTCTCCGGGCGGCCGCTCTAACCACTACACCACGGAGGCGGAATCGTGTATTTGAAGAATGAAGCTATTCTATTTCTGAGTGGTTGAATGATTGAATGAGTTCAGCTCAACAGATCAGCTTTTGAACAATGTTCATTAACATCACTGAATGTCACTTTGATGTGACTCAAGCCTGGAAGAGGTGAGTGAGTGAGTTTAGTTTTACACTGCTTTTAGCAATATTCCACCAACATCATGGCAAGGACACCAGAAATGGGCAGGGCTCCAGATAAATTTTCAACAGCAGGAGTACGTACTCCTTACTTTTTCAATATAGGAGTACTGGAAAACCGTAGGAATACATTTAGAGTACTGAATGGAAATTAATGGAGTATCAGTAATCTTGTGTTTCATTTCATATATACACCGCAACATTGCTACTCTTTTTGTAAACAGGTCAATGAACAATAAAACAATACTTTTTCAGATAAATACGTCTGTAAATTATTCTAAGACCGTACACCATTGCTGTGGTGTGTATCTGTTACGTTTTCTAAATTATTTCCTACCATATCATATTATTTATCCGAACATACACCGATACGGCCCTTATCTGGAGCCCTGAATGGGATTAACACATTCTGCTCATGTGAGGAATCGAACCCGGGTCTTCAGCGTGACGAGCGAACACTTTAACCACTAGGCTACCCCACCACCCCTCCCCCAGAAGGAACACGACTACAAAGCGACCACATCTTACCGGGGTAAGTGAGGACCAAGGCATTCAATATACAGAATTCAGCATGGTCAAGGTGGACTTCCTTCAGTCTAATGGCAAACTCCAGCGTTGCGTTGATCAGTTCCTTCCCCCAACCCATCGTCTGGGCGATCTCGGACGGAACCAACAGCCCCTCAGCAAACTTGATTGTGTTGTCTAACCCCATGGATCTGAAATACATACCATGAACACTTTCATTACCTGAGACTGCAATAACAGGAGTGAATGAGTTTAGTTTTACGTCGCTTTTAGCAATATTCCAGCAATATGACACCAAAAATAGGCTTCACACATTGTACCCATGTGGGGAATTGAACCTGGGTGTTCGGCATGACAAGCAAACACTTTAACCACTAGGCTACCCCACAGACCCTTTGACACCCTGATACGATAACACACAATCAGCCACTACGTGGTGACGATTGAGTCCATGGTACCATTCCTTCACAACATGGCCCAGTGCTGAATCTTACCTGTATGCTAACCTCAGTACGTTCAATTCCATGAAGGAAGATTTCAACAAGGCCATCTGGTCCACCATGCCTAGATCACTGAAACCTGAAAATACATTACTTTGCATTGGAAAATAGTCATGTACCAGGAAATAGTATTCTGAAATCCAGCGATAAATATTGATGCATTAACACATACTGTTGTACACCCCACTGTCCATACAGTCACTTTGACCTATAAAGCTATACTGTTGTACACCCCACTGTCCACACAGTCACTTTGATGTATTCAGTTATACTGTCGTACACCCCACTGTCCACACAGTCACTTTCATGAATTCAGTTATACTGTTGTACACCCCACTGTCCACACAGTCACTTTGATGTATTCAGTTATACTGTCGTACACCCCACTGTCCACACAGTCACTTTGATGTATTCAGTTATACTGTTGTACACCCCACTGTCGATACAGTCACTTTGATGTATTCAGTTATACTGTCGTACACCCCACTGTCCACACAGTCACTTTCATGAATTCAGTTATACTGTCGTACACCCCACTGTCCACACAGTCACTTTGATGTATTCAGTTATACTGTCGTACACCCCACTGTCCACACAGTCACTTTGATGTATTCAGTTATACTGTTGTACACTCCACTGTCGATACAGTCACTTTGATGGATTCAGTTATACTGTCGTACACCCCAATGTCCACACAGTCACTTTGATGTTTTCAGTTATACTGCTATACACCCAACTGTCGATACAGTCACTTTGATGTATTCAGTTATACTGTCGTACACCCCACTGTCCACACAGTCACTTTCATGAATTCAGTTATACTGTTGTACACTCCACCGTCGACATACAGTCACTTTGATGTATTCAGTTATACTGTTGTACACCCCACTGTCGATACAGTCACTTTGATGTATTCAGTTATACTGTCGCACAACCCCACTGTCGATACAGTCACTTTGATGTATTCAGTTATACTGTCGTACACACCCCACTGTCCACACAGTCACTTTGATGTATTCAGTTATACTGCTGTACACCCACTGTCGATACAGTCACTTTGATGTATTCAGTTATACTGTCGTGACACCCCACTGTTGATACAGTCACTTTGATGTATTCAGTAATACTGCTGTACACCCCACTGTCGATACAGTCACTTTGCTGTATTCAGTTATACTGTCGCATTACACTCCACTGTCGCATACAGTCACTTTGATGTATTCAGTTATACTGTTGTACACCCCACTGTCGCATACAGTCACTTTGATGTATTCAGTTATACTGTTGTACACCCCACTGACCACACAGTCACTTTCATGAATTCAGTTATACTGTTGTACACTCCACTATCGATACAGTCACTTTGATGTATTCAGTTATACTGTTGTACACCCCACTGTCCACACAGTCACTTTCATGAATTCAGTTATACTGTTGTACACTCCACTGTCTATACAGTCACTTTGCTGTATTCAGTTATACTGTCGTACACCCCACTGTCCACACAGTCACTTTGATGTATTCAGTAATACTGTCGTACACCCCACTGTCCACACAGTCACTTTGATGTATTCAGTAATACTGTTGTATTCCCCACTGTCGATACAGTCACTTTGATGTATTCAGTAATACTGTCGTACACCCCACTGTCGATACAGTCACTTTGATGTATTCAGTAATACTGTCGTACATCCCACTGTCGATACAGTCACTTTGATGTATTCAGCTATACTGTCGTACACCCCACTGTCCACACAGTCACTTTGATGTATTCAGTTATACTGTCGTACACCCCACTGTCCACACAGTCACTTTCATGAATTCAGTTATACTGTTGAACACTCCACTGTCGATACAGTCACTTTGATGTATTCAGTTATACTGTAGAACACCCCACTGTCCACACAGTCACTTTCATGAATTCAGTTATACTGTTGTACACTCCACTGTCGATACAGTCACTTTGATGTATTCAGTTATACTGTTGTACACCCCACTGTCCACACAGTCACTTTGATGTATTCAGTTATACTGTCGTACACCCCACTGTCGATACAGTCACTTTGATGTATTCAGTTATACTGCTGTACACCCCACTGTCGATACAGTCACTTTGATGTATTCAGTTATACTGTCGTACACCCCACTGTTGATACAGTCACTTTGATGTATTCAGTAATACTGCTGTACACCCCACTGTCGATACAGTCACTTTGCTGTATTCAGTTATACTGTCGTACACTCCACTGTCGATACAGTCACTTTGATGTATTCAGTTATACTGTTGTACACTCCACTGTCGATACAGTCACTTTGATGTATTCAGTTATACTGTTGTACACCCCACTGACCACACAGTCACTTTCATGAATTCAGTTATACTGTTGTACACTCCACTGTCTATACAGTCACTTTGATGTATTCAGTTATACTGTCGTACACCCCACTGTCCACACAGTCACTTTGATGTATTCAGTCATACTGTTGTACACCCCACTGTCCACACAGTCACTTTGATGTATTCAGTAATACTGTTGTATTCCCCACTGTCGATACAGTCACTTTGATGTATTCAGTAATACTGTCGTACACCCCACTGTCGATACAGTCACTTTGATGTATTCAGTAATACTGTCGTACATCCCACTGTCGATACAGTCACTTTGATGTATTCAGCTATACTGTCGTACACCCCACTGTCCACACAGTCACTTTCATGAATTCAGTTATACTGTTGAACACTCCACTGTCGATACAGTCACTTTGATGTATTCAGTTATACTGTAGAACACCCCACTGTCCACACAGTCACTTTCATCAATTCAGTTATACTGTTGTACACTCCACTGTCGATACAGTCACTTTGATGTTTTCAGTTATACTGCCCTACACCCCACTGTCGATACAGTCACTTTGATGAATTCAGTTATACTGTCGTACACCCCACTGTCCACACAGTCACTTTGATGTATTCAGTTATACTGTTCTACACCCCACTGTCGCATACAGTCACTTTGATGTATTCAGTTATACTGCTGTACACCCAACTGTCGATACAGTCACTTTGATGTATTCAGTTATACTGTCGTACACCCCACTGTTGATACAGTCACTTTGATGTATTCAGTTATACTGCTGTACACCCAACTGTCGATACAGTCACTTTGATGTATTCAGTTATACTGTCGTGACACTCCACTGTCGATACAGTCACTTTGATGTATTCAGTTATACTGTAGTACACCCCACTGTCTGACATACAGTCACTTTGATGTATTCAGTTATACTGTCGTACACTCCACCGTCGCATACAGTCACTTTGATGTATTCAGTTATACTCGTCGCATACACCCCACTGTCCACACAGTCACTTTGATGTATTCAGTTATACTGTCGACACCCCACTGTCCACACAGTCACTTTGATGTATTCAGTTATACTGCTGTACACCCCACCGTCGCATACAGTCACTTTGATGTATTCAGTTATACTGTCGTACACCCCACCGTCGATACAGTCACTTTGATGTATTCAGTTATACTGTAGTACACCCCACCGTCGATACAGTCACTTTGATGTATTCAGTTATACTGTCGTGACACCCCACTGTCGCATACAGTCACTTTGATGTATTCAGTTATACTGTCGTGACACCCCACTGTCCACACAGTCACTTTCATGAATTCAGTATTACTGTTGTACACTCCACTGTCGCATACAGTCACTTTGATGTATTCAGTAATACTGTTGTACACCCCACCGTCGCATACAGTCACTTTGATGTATTCAGTTATACTGTCGTACACCCCACTGTCCACACAGTCACTTTGATGTATTCAGTTATACTGTCGTACACCCCACTGGCCACACAGTCACTTTGATGTATTCAGTTATACTGCTGTACACCCCACTGTCGATACAGTCACTTTGATGTATTCAGTTATACTGTTGTACACCCCACTGTCGATACAGTCACTTTGATGTATTCAGTTATACTGTTGTACACCCCACTGTCGATACAGTCACTTTGATGTATTCAGTTATACTGTCGTACACCCCACTGTCCACACAGTCACTTTGATGTATTCAGTTATACTGTCGTACACCCCTGTCCACACAGTCACTGTGATGTATTCAGATATACTGTCGTACACCCCACTGTCCACACAGTCACTTTGATGTATTCAGTTATACTGTCGTGCACCCCACTGTCGATACAGTCACTTTGATGTATTCAGTTATACTGTCCTACACCCCACTGTCCACACAGTCACTTTGATGTATTCAGTAATACTGTCGCACACCCAACTGTCGCATACAGTCACTTTTATGTATTCAGTTATACTGTCGTTACACCCCACTGTCGATACAGTCACTTTGATGTATTCAGTTATACTGCTGTATTCCCCACTGTCGATACAGTCACTTTGATGTATTCAGTTATACTGTCGTACACCCAACTGTCAATACAGTCACTTTGATGTATTCAGCTATACTGTCGTTCACCCCACTGTCGATACAGTCACTTTGATGTATTCAGTTATACTGCTGTATTCCCCACTGTCGATACAGTCACTTTGATGTATTCAGTTATACTGTCGTACACCCCACTGTCCACACAGTCACTTTGATGTATTCAGTTATACTGCTGTACACCCCACTGTCCACACAGTCACTTTGATGTATTCAGTAATACTGTTGTATTCCCCACTGTCGATAGTCACTTTGATGTATTCAATAATACTGTTGTATTCCCCACTGTCGATACAGTCACTTAGATGTATTCAGAAATACTGTTATATTCCCCACTGTCGATACAGTCACTTTGATGTATTCAGTTATACTGTCGTACACCCCACTGTCGATACAGTCACTTTGATGTATTCAGTAATACTGTTGTACACCCCACTGTTGATACAGTCACTTTGATGTATTCAGTAATACTGTCGTACACCCCACTGTTGATACAGTCACTTTGATGTATTCAGTAATACTGTCGTACACCCAACTGTCGATACAGTCACTTTGATGTATTCAGTAATAATGTCGTACACCCCACTGTTGATACAGTCACTTTGA